GGTTTTAAGACAATTTCCTAAAATTCTTAAGCAATAAAACTTCCCCCCAAAATTGTTTTCTAATTTTACTGGGAAATATATACATGGAATTAGAAATTCTAAAACATTTCTATTTGCCTCATTTGGTGTGCAGTCTATCTAATTTCTAAGACAACTTTGTTGTATTGGTTTGTCATATTGTAACTTCAGCAACTTGAATGTCTGAAGACTTAGGGTATAAAGGTCCCCATGTTTGACCACTGTCTTCAAATTTCTGTACCGTTTGCACATGTGGTGGGTGAATTACAGAAGAATGAGCTGCCTGGATGACCCCCTGAACCTGTACTTGCTTTCCAGGAAGAGGTACAATTGTCACTGGCGAAGATCCTCTTAATGACATCTAAGAACAAATAAAAATTCAATTAACAAAAAATATATTGTACCTATGCACATAAGACAGCTGAGATCTTAATACTGGAAAACACATTTAATCACATGTATTACCAAGCATCAGGTACAGCCTGTACACCAGAGACTAAACTAGGAGGTGAGTGTACAAACTAATTTTAACAAGTAGAATAAGAATTGTAATACAGGAAAGGTAGAAAGTACTGAATTGTGGAAGCAAAGAAAGAATATTAACTTCAGCTGGGTCTTAAAGGACAAAATTCCCAGAGAGTATGTATGTAGGTAAAGAAGGGCAGGAGGACTAGAAAGGTATTTCAGACAGAGGAACTGTTTGCAAAAACATGGAGGGATCTTTAGAACACATTATTCTGAGGAGATGTGGTTGAAAACCAACTAAGAAATCAAGAGTCCAAGTGACAGAAATTCCAACTTTGGGCAGTCTCTTGAAATATAAAATAAAATATTTTGAGTAAATGTTTAATTTATTGAAAAAAAAAAACTAATTTATTCCTATGGAAATCTGATGGGGGTTCATGAGAATACATGACAAAATCCTAAACTATGAAGTCTACCCACTATTCTTCAAGTCACCTTGAAAGACAATTCAGTTACTGACAAAGTCAACTCTACTTTGTTCCTTTCTGACTCCATTTACCTTTCTACGCCTTTTCTTTTTCTTCCTCTAAGCCACTTTCTTCTGCAGTTACATTGTATTCTAGGAAGTACAGACCTGCTAAATAAGTTTCTTTAGAACAAGGAACCAAAACTATTCGCAGGCAACAGCAAGCCTTGCAGAACAGATCACCCCAGGATAAGCTTGCCCCACTAAATATCCCAGTAAAGGAACCAAGGCTGGCCCCATGCAGGAGCAATCATCTCACCATGGGAACCAAATTACCCCTCTCAGAGTGATGACCTTCCCAGAGTTTCACAGAACCAATCATGAGAAAAGGTTCAACCAAACCATGGCTTGACCAGTATGATTTCCTCTGTCACCTATATAAACGCTCCAGCTACGCAAGATACCAACCCTAGCCTTTAATTCCATTTTTTATAAAATCTCCAAGTTTCTGTCAATCCCTTGAAGATAGATCTTTGGTCACTATACCCCCATGAGGTATTCTTTGTATGGCCACACCCATTAAAAGTTCCTTTTCTTGAGGCTGGGGTTGTAGCTCAGCGGTACAGCGCTCGCCTAGCATGAGCAAGGTGCTGAGTTCTATCCTCAGCACCATATAAAAATAAATAAATAAAGGTATAAAAAAAATCACAAAAATCTTTAAAAAAAAAAGTTCCTTTTCTGTCCTTCATTGTTGCTAGTGTCTTTGATTGGTATATTAGGACAGATGGCTGATCCTGGTTTGTTGGGAACACTTTGCCCAAGGTTGCCAGTAAACAGTTCTACCCCTTTTTCTTTTTTTGTACCCAGGATTGAACTCAGGAAAATTTAACCACTGAGCCAGATCCCCAGTCCTTTTTTTTGTATTTTATTTACAGACAGGGTCTTGTTAAGTTGCTCAGGGCCTCATTAAAGTTGCTGTGGCTGGCTTTGAACTTGTGGTCCTCCTGCTTCAGCCTCCCAAGCCACTGAGATTACAGGCATGTGCCACTGTGCCCAGCACCTCTACCTCTTTCAAGATTTCTCAGATACTTTTGGTTAACAGAGATCTTATCTTCCTTGGACAACTCTAGTTCATACATTCCTCTTGGCTTAAATCACAAACTAAAATTCTAGGCTCTGAAAGTCACCTTCCTGAAATATGCCTTTTTTCTTTCTCGGCAGTAGGCCCAAAGAATAAGAATAAACAATTCACAAATCTTAAGTCCAGCTGTACAGTTATCATTATACTCAAAAATAATAAAAGAGCCCCTTACCTTTCAGACCCCAAGTGAAGCCATTCAATTAATAGAGAAAGCTTATAATGAGATTAATTTTCAATTCTAAAAGATTAAGAGCCATCATTTCTAAAGAGTTTCTGGCAATCCATGTGATTTAGTACACTGTGGGTCTGGCAAATGGAAAAGAAAAAAATAGGGACCAGATTTTGCTAGTAGCTGTCCCTCACCCTTATTAACACTATTCTTCCAACCTCACAAAATGCTCATTACTCAGGGTCTCAAAGTCCACACCCTTCTGACACTCACTCTGAAACCTGATAATTTAAATTCTAAGAGACTTCTCAAGGGAAGAAGCCCGTCCTGAGCCAGGCAATGTAGAATCCCAGTGACTTGGAAGGCTCAGGCAGGAGGATTACAAGTTCAAGGCCAACCGTAACAATTTAGCAAGGCCATAAGCAACTTAGTGAGACCCATCTCAAAATAAAATAAAATTTAAAAATAAATTAACCAATTCAATAAAATGAGTAGCCAGCCATGATGGCACATGCCTGTAATCCCAGTGGTTCTGGAGGCTGAGGTAAGAGGATGGTGAGTTCAAAACCAGCCTCAGCGACTTAGTAAGGCTCTATCTGTAAATAAAATGTAAAAAAAAGGCTGGTGGGGCTGGGGATATAGCTCAGTTGGTAGAGTGCCTGCCTAGCATTCACCAGGCCCTGAGTTCAATCCCCAGCACCACCACCATAAAAAAAAAAAAAAAAAAAAAAAAAAAAGGCTAGGGATGTGGTTCAGTGCTTAAGTGCCCTGGGTTCAACCCCCAGTACCAAAAAATAACAAATACAGTATGATTACTTATCCATGTTAATATCAAGTGCTTGAAATGTGGCTGGTGTGATTTTTAAATGTATGTAAGCTTAACTAATTTAAATTAAAACTAAGATACCAAATTGTGGCTAATGGCTACCACAGTGAAAAGTGAAATTGAGAGCTGTGGAACCTACTGGCATATTGTGGATGACCCCAGAACTCCTTTGAAGAGATAAATGAAAAATTAGAAAGGAAAGGATTTTTTAAGAGCTTCTAAATTGGATTAAAGCCCTGATTTTTCTCATACTCCGTGGGATACCTGAACTTAAAATGTTCTCCCTAGCTAGCTAATTGGGTAACCTAAGATGGTAAATGCTTGGGTAAGGAGGTAGGGCAGGGAATTCGTAGAGTGTCATAAGAAAGAAGCCTCTTCAGCCAGTGTTTGAATCCAAGTTCCAGAAAAGCATACAGGATTGGAGCCTGATAAGGCAGGACTATTTCTCAGCTAAAGGGCACTCATTAGCCTTTGTGATGCTTATCAAATCACTTACCCTTTCAAGGCCTAAGTTTCTTCCTTTGTAAAAAGAACTAATACTATATTTTTCACAGTTATTATAACAACAATTAAAAGAATAATAAAAGCAAAATGGGAAGGTAGGGAAAAAAAGCCTACATCTATATGTTTCTTATTTGGTTCCTGTTTCAACAAGGTGTTAAAAAATGTGTGTGCCTATGTGTCCTATAAATAACAGGAAAATTTAAGAACTGTATGGATATTTCATATTATCTTTTTATTTTAAGTATAATAATAGTTATGGTTATGTTCTTTAAAGGAGTCTTTATATTTTAGAGATACATATGGACATACTGAAAGCCAAAATGATAAATCTAGGATTTACTTTAACATCATTCAGCCAGCAGAGGTGGGGGCACGAGACAACATAAAATACTAATTACTGAAACTGGGTGATGAAAACCATGATGGTTCAACCTAATTATCTCTGATTCGAAATAGGTTTGAAAATTTCCATAAGTTTTTGAAAAGGACCAACAACAGTAAACACTAAGTTGCTGGTCCTGTCTGGCTCCAGAGTCCAGTGTTCTTTCCATGATCTCTTGTGCCTCCAGTTGCCAATCAGGACGTTTTTACAGCCTCTCACTTGGTATTGGTCAACAGGCATGCCTGAATGCTAAACAAACAACTGTTCAGTGAATTAACTAATTATCTCCCAATTAAAGACACTAATCGAATTTCTACAATTTCTTCTGGGTATCTTTTTGATTTTTCCAACTTGAAAGATGTAAAGATTTATATTTTCTCACTTAGAATATTTGTCCAATTTTTCATTTTGCACCAAGTAACAATAAAGGGGGGACACAGATGATATGCTAACTTTCCTAGCTTCCTTAAGCCCATATAGCCAGGGAAAAATGTTTTCTACTTTAAGTTTTGGTAGGCCCATTCTCACTGTTGACAATTCATCTTGTTCCAGTCAGTGCCCTCTCAAATGAGAAATCTAATATCTTTGAATACAATACCTTAAAACAAAGCTGCAAAACAGCTGAAAACAAAGAGAAAACTCTAAAAACATACATAGCTGGGTCTCTTCTCCCATTAGAGTAGAATTAGTACGCATTTTATACAATCTCTTCCAGAAATGACAAGGAAATATTTTCCAACTAATTTTATGAGGACAAATAAATTACCAAAAAGAAAAAGAAAACCACAGACCAATAGCTCTTATAAATTTCAATATAAAAATTATCAACAAAATATTAGCAAATTAAATCCAGTAACATTAAAAAATGTCATATCCAAGTGCAGTTTATTCCAGGTATGCAAGGCTGGTTCAATATTCGAATATCTATGTAACACAACATATCAACAGGCCAAAGAAGAAAAAAAATTCATAAGATTGTACCAACTGCTGTACAGATGATATTTGAAAAGTACAAAATTTCTTTTCAAGACAGGGTCTTGGTATGTTGCCCATGCTGGTCTCCAACTATGAGCTCAAGCAGTCCTCTCACCACAGCAGCTGGGACTACAGGTATGTATCACATGCCCAGTTCTAACATCATTCCATTTAAAAAACAAAACTAGGAATAGATGGGAATTTCCTTAAACTCAGAAAGTAAAAACCTAGCTGACATCACACATAATGGTGAAAGAATGTTTTTCTCTCTAAGTTCAGGAATAAAGCAAGATGTCCATTCTCACTACTCAATGTGATTAAGTTCCAGTCAATGCAATAAAGGCAAGAAAAGATTGGAAAAGAATAAACAAAAACATCCCTATTTGCAGATTACATGGTTATCTACAAGGAAAATCCCCACATCTTAAAAACAACAACAACAACAACAAAACCCCACAACTCATCCTTCCTAGAACAAGTGAGTTCAGTAATGTTGCAGGGTACAAGATCAAGATCAATTTACAAAATCAAATGCTTTTCTATACTCAAAAAATGAACAAGTAAAATTTAAAATCAACACAATATTATTTACAACTGCTCCAAAAAAATATACAATACTAAGGGCTACTTGTCTATTTAGCTCAGTGGTAGAACACTTGCCTAGAAGAGTTGTTGGCAGAAAGTGTTCATTACTGGCCCTCTTCGGAACTGCCTCAAGGAGAGTCAAGGTTGCATACTATCCTTCCTGGTACAGTCAGAATCCAATGACTGGTGCAGACAGGAAATATAAACGACCTGTTGGCCCCACACCTCAATCCCGCAAGAACTATTTGGCTTCAGAGCTTCCTATGGGGTCATTTGAGGCCTTTGTTGAGACTGAATCACAATTCAACTTCTCCCTCTGCCCAATCCTATTCCTTCTCTTCCTTCCCATCTACAGGTGGTAATTCCCCAGATGTACCCCTAATAAACCCTTTGCGTGCTAATCTCCCTTTTCTATTCTGCTTTCTGGAAACCCAAACTGTGAAAGACATCAAAGGGCTGGGAGGCAAATCATGTCTCTACTTACTACTTGTGTGACCTCTAAGACAGAAGATTATAAAAGAACAGGTTGATACAAGGTAAGGCCTTAAAATGTATAAATGCTTAAGAAATTCACCTGGCAGGTAAATTTAGCTGTAATCATTGTTATCCTTTATTTCCTATGCACCTGGTTAAAGTATACAAATTTCTCCATAATATGAGTATCACTGATAGTTAAGAGCTGGAAAAGACCTTAGAGATCACCAATTCTAACACTTTTAATTTCCAGATGATGAATATCTGGTCTTCTTTAAGAAGTAAATTAATTATACAATGTACCAGAGTCAATAAAGTAAGTGACAAAGCCAGGACTCAAACCAGGTCTTCTGACTATATCCATTGTTCTTTCTAATAAACAACTCAGTCTCTCAATCTACATATACTTTATAATTCAGTGAAATTCTTCTTGCCATAACTGAAACTTGGCTACCGTCTGAGGACCACCACCTCTACTACAGTTCTTCACTGCACTCCTCATGAGCCTACACATAGGTGAGTGTTTCCTTTCATACTTCCATGTCCTTCCCCATAACTCCCAATTTTGAAGTCTGTAACACAGACTGCTCATTCTTGGGACAGTCATGTCCCTTTATTTAAGACTTCAGAATCTGGATCAATCTGTTCTCTCCCATCTACTCCTCATATAATCTGGTGATTTTAATATGCAACATCTAATATTTCCATGCCCAGGCATTTCATCCATTATCTTTCTTTCTTTTTTTTCTTTTAGGTACCAATGACTAAACACAGACACAGAGACATGTAACCACTGAGCCACATCCAACCCTTAATTTTTTTTTTTTAATTTTGAGACAAGGTCTTGCTAAGTTGCTTTTAGGGCCTCACTTAAGTTGCTGAGGCTGGCTTTAAATTTGTGGTCCTCCTTCCTTAGCCTCCCAGACTGTTAGGATTACAGGCTCCTGGCTTATATTTCATTTATTTTCAGTCATATTTTGTTTCATTTCATTTCAAATGAGGTCTTACTATGTTGCCCAGGCTGGCCTCAAATTCCTGAACTCAAGTGATTCTCCCACCTCAGCCTCCCAAGTAGCTGGGACTACAAGAACATGCCACTGCAACTGACCAGGCTTCTGTTTTTGATGACCTCTCTTTCAAAGCCCTGTCTTTCACTCTCCTCAGGCACATATTCCTCTTGTCATATCCTAAAGAGTTTCTCATCAGACATTTTGGAAAGGACAATTCTTTCATGTGCAGGAATATCCTGTTCAATGCAAGACATTTAGCTTCTGGCCCTGCCCATTAAGTGACAGGAGCACCTACCCCTACCCCCCCACCCATAATTTCCAGACATCTCAGTAGGGAAGCAGTACTATCCCTCCACCCCCAGTTGAGAAACACTGACTTAAACCCTTTCATTACAAATATATGCACCCCTCCACAATGTCAAATTCAAATATCCCTCATTCTAAGTAGTAGCTCCTTCTAAAACTTTCTACCTCTAGTACTTGGACTCAACAATTTGTATACAACAAAAGAAATTACCATCTATTGATCCTACTCTCTTTTCTTGGCTCTTGATCCCACTGAGGCCCGATTTCCTTCTTAACAACTTAAATGTCATGTCCATCATGATAATCACTATAGTGCATGCACTCATGCACTCTCAATGTTCTTTTTTCTTGTTCCACTACATATAGTTCAAGTACACTTGAATATGACCAGAGGAAAACACAGAACTAAACTTCTCCAGTAGATCATTAATGGTCTCTAGCAATCTTACCATATATCCCTACTCTAGTAGATAGTAGACTATTTTATAAACTATTCTTCCTATATTCTGAAAGCATTTCACACACAAATCCCCCAAATTTATAAGAAAACTTTCAGAGTATCTCATCCCCAATCTACCCACCTAACATGTATTTAGTTTCTAATTATACATGATATACTTGTACTCATATCAAGTTAATTTCTCCACCTGTAGATTAATTTTCATCTCCTTTCATAAGGACACCATCCTAGAATTGTTCTTTCTTTTCCTGTATTATCAAATTTTCTCCCTCTATGCATCATTCCCTTTGGTACATAAAAAGCTGTTAATTTATCCCATCTTTAAAAATAATCAAAAGAGCCAGGTATCTGGCATATATGCTTATAATTCCAGGAACTCGAGCTGCTGAGGCAGAGGGATCAAAGTCTGAAGCAAGACCCTCCCCAATTTAGCAAGACTCTGTCTCAAGATAAAAAATAAAAAGAACTAGGCGTTTAGCTCAGTGGTAGAGTGCCCCTGGATTCAATCCCCAATATCACCCACACACCAAAAATAAAATAAAACTTTCACAATCTACAACCCCCTCAGAAAACTTATTTCCTAGATCACTTTTGAACAATACTCCTCAAAGAAGTTGTTTATTCATTCAGGAGTTGTCAAATGAGTTTGCATACTCATTTTTCTCCCGTCTTTCCACGCTCTCTTGGATCAAATTAGATTTTTACTGAAGTAATTCTTGTCAAGGCTTTCAAGGAGCCATGTTGTGAAATATACCTGATTACTGTTACCTGTGTTAGGTATAAAATTGCCACATACAATGAATTATCAAAAAATGAATCTCTGGGGCTGGAGTTGTGCCTCACACCTGCGAGACCATGGGTTCGATCCTCAGCACCACAAAAAAAAAAAAAAAATGAAATAAAGGTGTTGTGTCCAACTACAACTAAAAAAAAAAAAAAAAAAAAAAAAGAACCACTGCTCCTTAGGGGAAATAGGGAATTATGTTTCTACGGGTCTCTGGGCACAACATTCTCAACAACTGATCAATATATAACCTTGTTTTATGTGTATTTCTACTTAAAGATACCTTTTTTAAAACATATTGTTAAGCCATTAACATTGAGCTCACAGTCAATAGCACTATAATTCATGCCTAAATGAAATTTATCAAAAACAACATGCTATTTTCTCCATTACAGCCTTCTTGCACTTGGGAACACAAGAGAGCACTAAAGTACTATGTTTGGAGCCATTTTAAACAGCACAAAATGCAAAAGACACGGCACTAAGTAGATGGCAAAAAGAATAACTATTTACAGAATGCTAGTTGAAACAAGAGAGGCCCAGAACCATTGACTTCATTCTTTGTTGATTGTATTTGGGTTCTCTAGAGGAACAGAATCAATAGGAAGTATAATTACAAAAGGAGGATTTAGTAGGTTGGCTATGCGACCAGAAGCATCCAGAACAAGAGGCATCAATGGTGCTACCCTAGTCCAAAACCAAAGGCTTCTGGAAACTCCCTAAAGAATCATTGGCAGAGTCCACTTTAGAAGAGTGAAGAAGTGACAGTCCAATATCCTTAGATGATCACAGCAGTAATCAAGAACTGTTAAAGCTGCTGCTTCCTTGTTCTTCCAACTTTTATTCCACCCAAGCCATCATCCTATTGAATGGTGAAGCCCATGCTTAGGGAGGGTCTCCCGTAGGCTATACCACATGCCAATCATTCTTGCACACACCGTTGTTGACACACCCAGAAACCTCTTAATCATTGGCATCTCTTAATCCAATCAAGTTGGCAATTCAAATCAACCATTACAATGATATCCACCTTTCAGTAATCTCATCTAGTTCCATGACTGATTACACTTACATTAAACAGATGTAGTCCCCCAGTTCTTGAATGTTATGTTCTGTTTTTCTGTTTTCCATTTTGACAATTTCTACTGGCTCAAATTCACAGATTATTTCCTCAGTTGTGTTTGAGGAAACTCTACTAATAAATTCAAACACCATTTCATCTATGTTACCGTTTTTATTTCTATTTGATTTTTCATATAGTTTCCATTCAGGCATGATGAACACTAGAATAACATATTATTTTAAATTCATTATCTGATCCTTCCAACAGCTAGATCATCTTGAATCTAGTTCTGTTAATTATTTTGGTTTCTGGAAAGTAATTTTTTTCTTGCTTTTTTGATGTTTCAATTCATAATTTCTGCCTGAATGATGGACACCATGTGTAAGATAGTTCAGACTGAGGCAAATAGTATTTATGCTTAGAAATGGATATGATTCTTCTTCTATATCATAAGTGTGTGTTAAGTGGGGGAGGATTGAGCCAATCTATTCAGAAATCAAACTGGGCTGAGTTTATTATGGTTAGCTAAAGTGTACTAACCAGCTTAAATCTCTAGTGGGGCCTGCTTGGGGTGGTGGAGGGGCTGGTTTGCCAGAGGGTTTTTCTCACTTGCTCCATCCTCAGCTTCAGGCTGTCTCTCTGCAGTTCCCCCCAAGAGGCTTTCTCCATACTCCTGTTCCTCCCCCAGGGATAGACTGTTGTTGCTACACTTGAAAGCAGAAGAGGGAAGGTTCTCTATTATCCTGTCCCTGTCTCAGTCTCAGGTAGGATCTCTATTCTTAGGTTTTAGTGGGTGGGCTTTCTCCTAGTGGCAGAAACACTAATGATGTGAGACCAGGACAGTTTCCTGCCTTTCCTCAGGGTTGTTGTTTTTCTTTTTTTTTTCCTATTTCTTCCAGACACCATGGAAAAAAGGGTTTGATCCCTTTCTCCAGTGGTTTTAAACTCTTTTTCCATAGGAAAAAATGGTCCAAGCAGGCCTGGACCCATACAGACAGGCTTTCTCTGGTTTCTTTTGCTCACCCCACCCCCACTTCTTGTCCCAGCTTTCTTATGAGCAAATGTTAGAGATCCTTCAAGAAAAGCCTATAAAAAGATAAGAACTCCCTTATGTCTGCAGCTCCCAAAGGTTCTGGATTCTCATGCTAGCCTATTCCTAAACTTTATAATTCATTAAAAATTTAGCTAAATTATTCTTTCTCCCTGGTAAGACAGTCTGACCTTGTTTTGTACTCTGCCACAGATGCCATGCACATATCCTATCTCTGTGGGTTCAAGAAAATTTATGAGTTTGCAGATTACATAATTTATTTTTGTTTTAGATATAAGCAACACTCTATCCAGCTTTCTACATCCTAGGCAGCAGCTAGAGCCCCAATTTTTTCATTATTATCTATATATCCATAATTCCTAAATGTAGACCTCTTCCCCAAAATCCAGACTCAGGTATATCCAACTCCTACAGGATAAATCTACGTGGATTGTCTGGTGGACAGATTTTAAGGTGGTCCTCGTGATCCGAATCTCCTAGTGTTCATGTCTACTCTCTCCTTGAGTGTGTCTTTTTTTCTGGGGACAGGAGGAGTAACTAGAGATCAAACCAAGAGCTTTGTGTATGCAAGGCAAACACTTTGCCATTGTGCTACATTCCACTCTCTCTCCTTGAGGGAGGACTTGTGATTTGCTTCTAATCATCAGAATATAGCAAAGCTGATGCAAATTATTCCCATGATTATGTTACATTTTATGGCAAAGAAATGGGATATCATTTCCTTGACTATGGTATATATTACACAAGACCCTGTCCAGTAAGCATACTGGTTCTCATTCTTTTACTGGACTTAAAAGAAGCAGGAAGCCATGTTGTGACCTGCCTATGCAAAGAATCACATGACAGGGAATTAGGGGCACCCTCTAGGAGACAAAAATAGCATCCAGCCAACAGCCAACAAAAAACTGAAGCTTTCAATCCTACAGCCACAATGAAATGAATTCTGCCAACAACCTAACTGAGCTTGGAAGTGGTGACTTCTCTAGTCTAATCTCCAGGCAAGAACCCAGCCCTAGTCAACACCTTGACCACAGCTTGTTGAGATCTCAAAAAAGAGAACCAGCTAAGATATGTCTGATCTTACAGAAACTGTGAGCTAATAAATGTGTATTGTTTTATGCCCCCAAGTTTGCGGTAATTTGTTCTGCAGCACAGAAAACTAATACAAAAAGAATGAGAAACTTAACAAATCTAAAAGCAAATAAATCAATCTATCTATCTATCTATCTATCTAATCTATCTATCTATCTATCTATCTATCTATCTATCTATCTATTTATTTATGGTAGTGCTGGGAATTGCACCCAGGGTTTAGCACATACCAGGCAGGCACTGTTCCACTGAACTATATTCCCAGCCCTTAAAACCAAATTCTTGATTGTCAATATCCCCCTAAAAAGCAAAAAAAAAAAAAAAAAAAAAGAAAGAAAGAAAAATGTTCTATTGTCCATCTCAATAAATAGCAACTCCATTCTTCTACTTTCAATCAAGCCAAAAACTATGCAGTTAATGTT